TTTACATTTCAGAATGAATTTTGGTATCTATTTGCTGGGGCATATTTTGAAAAATAAATCTCAAATGTCTTCTTCTTTTTCATTTTAATTAAGTGAAAGAATTAGCAGTCTTGAAGAAGAAAATTAAAATGCAAATAGGATTATTATTACTAATTTCATTTATGAGTCAAACAATGCAGCCACATTCTTAAAATGAAAAAGCATTTCTGAAAATGCTTTTTCATTTGAAATATGGCAACGATTTGCTTCCATAAGAGTGATGGGAAATCAGGGATGAGTTGCATCAGCTTCACAATGGGCGGAACTAAACTGAAACCACTTTGCACAATTCAACATGATATAGAAAAACGTGCCTGAATTAGCGATGCACCTTAATGAATAATTAAGACAAATGATCTCCGCTGTTTTTTGTTTTTTTTTGCGCTTTCCAAAGAGAAGTGCAGCGCACATTTTCAGCTGATGCAACTTTTCTTCCGCAAACAAGCAGCAGGTTTACGCTTCTTCAGACACCGAGCCAGGAAAATATACGATGACAACACCAACCTTAATCTCTGCGATCAACTCCTCCTTTTTCATATTTTGCTTTTCAGTGACACGGATGCCGTGCTCCTCCAAGATGGCCCTGCAGCGAGGGTCCACACTTTCACTAATTAGCACAGTTCTGATGCAGATCGGAGCCATGTTGGTGGGGGTTCTCTGCCTGGTGGTCGTCGGAGGGCCGCTGGTGAAATGATGGATACCGAGGGAGTCCCTGCCCCTGCTTCTTTTTAGGAGTTCTCAGTGGTTCTCGCTGATTTCACACGATCCCCTTTTTAACTTGGTCCCGCCTCTCGCGCGTCTCCTGTTCTGACGTAACCGCGCGTGCACCCTGGAAACCAGTTCAGAAAATAATCCACCAAGAAACCTAAACCATTTACTGTTAAAAGAAGCGTTTGCATACAGTAAGAGATAATTCTTTACAGGTTTTTATTGAACTAAAATACTATCTAAGCACTCAAGCTGTAAAAAACCCAAAACGTTAGATTTGATTACCACAAGATGAACAAACAGTAAATGTGCAAACACAAAACAGTAACAAAAATCATCCAAAACATAATTTGCATACATGCAGCTATAAATGTATTTTAAAAAAGAATTACAGTTAAAATTCTTAAAGTTTGCCCAACACTTTAATTCATGTTGAACCAAAGGATATTGGATATTTGGATATTGTTTAGAAGTAGATATCTAATTTATTTAAATGTATTAATCTACAGCAACGTACCAGGATGAGGGAAAAAAATGTGTAATTGTCTGATAGTTATGACTTTAATCTTGTGGTACCATTTGCCTAATGGAAGCTGTTAAAAACATTCATGAATAGGATGCACGTGTATTATTAAAGTCCTGTTCCTGCAGCATCACTTTAAACAGATCCTGGCTAGAGGTAAGGACACTCCACTGATCTTCTCAGCTCCCCTCACTATCCTCTGCAGGGCCCTCTGGTCTGCTTTGTTGCATCTGCAGTTCAATACAGTCTCAGCTATACAGCTGTCTGCAATGTTGAAGAGATGTTGGTACAGTTTTTTTTTTTTGTTCTTCAGCCTGTTTCTTTGGCTGATTTTATGATTGCAGTAGTGTTCTTGACAAGAACAGCTCATGGGAGACCTCTGCTTTAACTAAGTTGCTGCAATCCATGCTCTGCATCATTTTGCTGATGCTGAGGATTATGAGTTCAGGTCATCATCTCTGGAAGGTAGATGACCATCTTCCTTTCTATCTACACTGACCACCAGGTTGCTGCCTCTAAACCAGTTATCCAGCAGTCTGACTTCCACCTTGAGAAATGATAAAGAAATACCGCTTACCTTACTTTTCCAGATCATTTGCACACCCAGAACAGGTCATCTAAAAACTCTCCAACTGTTATTTCACATAAACCAGATGAAACAGAATATCCTGGCTGGTGGTTAGCAATAGCAGAATAGAGTTATCTAAAATAAATATCCCCTTTTCTTAAATCTGCCCTAAATGAAGTGTGAGTTAGGTCACAGGAGTCTTTATTCAGTAGATGTTGTTCACCACCTGACTCATTACGCAACACATGACAGCCCTCTTAGCCTTTCAATTTTCTATTTACTCCATCTGTCTCTGTTTGAACTGCATGTGTTTTTTCTGTTAATGTCAGCCAGCTGGAATGAACTATCTTCTTCTTTTAGGTGAATAAATAGAAAAGGGCTGACTGAAGACATAAATTGGCAGAAGTGCAGACTGTTTAACATGGGCCTCAAAATTGTCACAGTTGGATAATGTCAATTAAGGCATTTAAGATAGTGGTGCAATTTTACGACAGTAATAACAACCAGTAACATCCATCCATCTGTTTTCTATCTGTTTCTGTACAGGGTTCCAGGTGTGCTGGTGCCTATTTCCAGTGGTCTAAGGGTGAGAGGCTGGTTACACCCGGGACAGGTCGACAGTCCATAATGGGGCAACACAGAGACACACAGGACAAACAACCACGCACACACACACTCATTCACACTTAAGAGAGACCAATTAACGTATCAGTCATGGTTTTGGACTGTGGGAGGAAGCCGGAGCACCTGGAGAGAACCCATGCATACATGGGGAAAACATGCAAACTCCATGCAGAAAGACCCCCAGCTGGGGGTCAAATCCAGGACCTAATTGCTGCAAGGAAACAGTGCTACCCACTGCACCACCGTGCAGGACTACAGTAACAATTAGCTTGTATTTTTCAACATATTTTATTATTTCATGTGGTCAAACTCAGAGACTGTGTACTGTTCTTTCTATGGATATGTCTGTAAAATCTCTCCGCAGATTATTTTAGATGACAGTTAACTTAAAGACAGCCAGCAAGCACAGTATTGGGGCTTAAGACTTACACTCATAAAAGGTTTTAATAACTGCTAATGTTTACACTTAAAAAAAACTAAAAACTGTCCCCTGTAAAAACAGTAAATGATGTAGTTAGAACTGTGAGAAAGCGAAGACTTTGAAGTATTAATAAATAGGTCAACACAGTCCAGCATTTGTTGCTAAGACCATATATTACCCAAATTGCAAGTCAGACTTTTATACACAAAGGGTTTATATGTTTATTTCAACTGATCAAGACAAGATTGTATTATTATAATAATTATTATCTAAAAATAACTATAATAATAATAAAGCTTATGTCAAGTTCTCATAACAGGTCATACAAAACTTAACTGAACTGATTGCAGTTTTATATACCTTGAAATAAACGGGACCTGTAAACTGCATTGAGATGGCATTTGTTGGGGTGTTGTGCTCCCTCCGTAACCAAACTGAAGTGATTAACCAAGTAGTCCAAAGCAAATTATTAAAATACTTGCTTAACAATTTTCTTCTAAAGCATAATATTCATGTTACCTGAAAGGTTTAATTATTTAATTATAAAAATATCAGGTGTCTTTAGCCAACACACTTCTGCGGACTGTGATTGGCTCTGCCGTTGCCTGGATACAGTTCAACAGAACCGATATTTAAGCGTAGATGCCGTACATGAATTCAACCGTGAAAGTGTTTTGATTGGTTGTTTAGGTTGGGGCGACATTTGCGATTAGTTATTCGTAAACAAAGTAAAGTTAGAATTTTTCGCCGATCCACCTTAACACTGATGGCTGTTCGTAATCGTAATGTAATCTTCAACATTTCCGCTCGGCATTTATAATTGAACGAAGCACAGCAAATAAATATGGCTTCGGCGGCTCAGTACGACGGGAGTCGGAGACGATTCAGTAAACGCGGTGAGAGTTAAATAAAACACAGAAGTTTAGTTAGTTCACTCAGTTCGGGGCTGTTATGTCAAATGTTAGAGTCAATGCGACATTATGTTGTGCAAATCCAGTCAGCTATTTCTTACGTTCATTTACAGGTGCATTAGATCTGTTTATTGAGTTACTGATTTGTTCTCTAAATTAATAATACAGCAGCATTTGTTTTCTACTGTGGCTTGCAACAATAGTCATAACCTTTGAACTTTTCCAGCACACTACAATCACAAACTTCAATGCATTTGATTTGGATCTTATGCAATAGACACAAAGGCTATATAATTGTGAATAGGAAGCGAAATGATATATGGTTTTCAACATGTTTAACAAGTCAAACTCTGAAAAGTGGTGCATACTTGTATTCGGCCCCTTTCTAAACATCAAAGCATCAAATTAACCTCAGAAATTACATATTGATTAAATAAAATCCAGCATTGATGTGATCTTAGTGTAAATACAGCTGTTTTGTTAAGGTCTCAGGGTTTTTTGTAGAATATTTGTATATCGATGGCATCATGAAGAACAAGGGACACACCAGGTAGGTCACCGATAATGTTGTGGAAAGGTTCAGGGTTAGGTTAGAAAACAATATCCCACACTTTAAACCTCTCACTCCATCGTCATTCTCCATCAACGGAAAATGGAAAGAGTATGACACAACTAGAAATCTACCAAGACTTGGCTGTCCACCTAAACTGACAGGCTGGGCAAGGAGATCATTAATCATAGAGGCAGCCATGGGGCCCATGGTAACACTGGGCAGAGGTGTTGAACTCCAGTCTTCGAAGGACGGTGTCCTGCAACCTTTACATTTGTCCCTGGTCCAACACATCTGAATCAAATGACTGAATTACTTCCTCAGCATGCAGCTAAGTTTTACAGAGTTCTGCTGGTGATCTAATTATGTGATTAAGGTGTGTTGAAGCAGAGACACATCTAAAAGTTAAAGGACACCAGCCTTTGAGGACTCAAGGACTTCTCTAAAGGAGCTGCAGAGATCCACAGCTCAGGTGTGTGAATCTGTTGAGAAGCAACTACTAGTTGTGTTCTCCACACATCTGGCAAGAAGAAAGCCATTATTGAAAGAGAGATATAAGAAGTCACATTTGGAGTTTTGTACAAGCCACTCATACTTCAAACATGAAAGAAGATGCTCTCATCAGAGAAGACAAAAATTCTGCCTTCATGACATCATGTGTTCTGTGAAACATAGTGGTGGCGGCATCATGCTGCTGCAATGCTTTCCATTGTAGTCTGCTGGTCAGAGTGGATGGAAATATTGATGGAGCAAATCACAGGGCAATCCTGTTGTAAGAAACCCTTTCAGAGGCTGGAAAAGACGTACGACTGGAGCAGAGGTTCACCTTCCAGTAACAACCCTGAAACATACACACAGATCAACAGTGCCAGAGTGGTTTGGATCATGATATTCATATGTTATTCACGGTCCAGCCAAAGTCCAGACCTAATCCAAGGGAGACATGAAAATCGCTGCTCAGATGTTCTCTGACTAATCTGGCTGAGTCTGAGCTGTTGCAAAGAATAATGAATAATGGGCAAACTGTTCAGTTTCTAGATTTGCAAAGCTGGTAGAGATGTACCTCATTAGACTTGCAGCTGCAATTGCAGCGAAAGGTGTTTTTTTTTTACAAAGTATAGACTCAGGGGGATGAAAACAAATGCATGCTGCACATTTGAAACTCTTAAATCCGTTACCTTCTTCTCTACATTCAATCACATAAAATGCCAATAGAAAACGTCAACGTTTTTGGTTGTAGTGTGACAAGGTTCAAGGGGCATGAACACATTTATAGAGCCCTGTATTTTACCTAATGTTTTGTGTTTTGATGATTGCAGCCCATTAAGTTCTGGGTCTATTTGTCCCTTAGAGTACAGCAAACAGAGATCACCATGGCAAAGTAGCAACATGGAGGGCTTTTTAACTGATAACTCTCAACGAGTAGAAACCTGAGTTGTCCCACTATCCACTATCCATAAATGAAAAAACTAATTTCGCAGAAAAAAACAATTTAAAAAAAAAATTACATTACAAGCTTAGAGTCTGTTTCCTCTCTACACTGGTTGTTTTTATGGTATTATTTGCCCTTTTTCAAAGCACCAAGAACAAAAGATAAGTTCATCCAGCCTCCAGATCTCCGACAAGTCGCCATCTTAAGACAAACTGACTGGCTCAGAATTCAAGATGAAGTGAACGGGGTTGATAAAGACGAGGAGCGTCTTAGAGAGGCAGCTAAACACAGAGAGGCCCTGCATCTGCAGTCAAAACAAGTTGTGAAGCTGTGGCCTGATACTACTGCTGTAAGTCTCATTGAAACCCTCTTTTCACGCAGTTTGCTTCAATTAAATCTGGCATGGTTATCGCTAGTGTCCAAAGACACAAATGTGAAATGGGAACTAATAGTTTGTCTATATTTGTTTTCAGGGTCTAAGGCAAAAAATGATAGAGGCAAAGAAGGTCCGAGAGCAAATAGAAGAGGAGAAAAGGAAACAGATAGATGCTGAGGAAGCCAAATACAAAGAAGAAAAGCAAAAAGAGGCCTTGAGAAAAGCCAGAACTCAGCTGTATTATCAAACCGACCGGGTGAAAGGATTACACGTCAGTAAATGCATTAAAATTCAGCACTGTATATAACATCTAAATAGACCTGGGATAAATCATTGTTGCTACTTCCCCAGCGTGCACTTCTGCACACAGAGGTGCTGAAAGAGAGGGAGGCTCAAATAGAGCTGAAGCAAAGGATGAAAAGTGCCAGGAAAGAAGTGGATAAAAAGTTCCTGGAAATAATAACAACCAGAGAGAATGAAGCCTTGAGGAAAGAGCGGGAAAAAGCTGTGCAAAAGAAGCTGGAGAGACAGGCAGCAACTGAAGACCTGAAAAACCAGTAAGTCCTAATCAGTCTCTGCAGCTGCACCATTTTACTGCATGTTTAATGCTGGACTGCATGGGAATGCTGAACTGACACCACTCCAATATGAGATTACACTGAATACTGCAAAAGTATTCACATGTCTTGAAATGGTTTTGATCAGGGGTGTCCAAAGTGCAGCCCAGGGGCAATTATTTTGGGGTAAATTTACAACAATGTAGAAAAGGAAAACAAAATAAAACACTTATATATTCCATTAACTGCAAAATGTTAGGAACAACAACTTAGCTAATTAAGGCAAATGTTACTGTCTCTGTAATAGACAAAATAATAAAAATCAGTCAACCCCCTAAAAAAAAACAACAGGTCAGCTGTATACATTTTTTTAGAAAGGGCAAACTAACAAAACCCTGTTTATGTTTTGGATACACAATGATTTACAGATCCTTTTGTTTTCAAAAATGTTGATTTGTTTAACGTACATGTTGCATGTGTAGTTCATTGTTGAGCAGTTAAACAGAAATTCAAAAAGGTTTGGGGAGTTTTAGTAAAAAAGTAGCCTGCATGTGGCAGGAAGTTTGGACACCACTGGTTTAGATCAATGCATAGCAAGCAAAAAGTTTAGTTTCTAGATGTAATTTATAAAATGCATTGTTAAAGAGGTTTGAAATGCATAATTTTTCTTCCACTTCACAACAATGTCCTACTTTGTGTTGGTCTATTTCATAGAATTTTCCTTAAAATACATTTTTTTGTGGTTCTAACAAAATGTGAAAAGGTTTAAGGTGTATAAATGCTTTTGCAAGCCAATATATTTATAAAAGACAAAACAAGATGCGTAAGATAAATTCAAAATCGGAAATATTTGTTTATCTTTGTAAGGATAAAGGCAAATGAGTTAGCACGAGAGCAACAGAAACTGGAAATCAAGAAGGATGCAGAGGAAATCCAGCATCTTCTAGAGCATTATCAGTGGGAGCAAAACATGGAGTCAGAGCGACAAGCAAACCAGAGGAG